GTTGACCCTCATTTGCAGCTGCACATCCACACTCATTCTCTCTCGATCTCTCCACCATGGATTCTACACCGACGACCCTTCGAACACTCTCCTTCACTACCAACCACAAGTAACTTCTATGTCACTTCTATTTTCTAATTTCATTTTTTTCCGGTTCGATTTTGAGATTTTCATGTTTTTTTGCTTTATTTCCCGATAAGGCAGTCACCGGAGGACCATCGACGACGACATCGAGTTCCAACCACTCTCCTTCATCATCGACCACAAGTAATTTTTTGTGATTTTTCAAGTTTTTTTATTTATTTAATTTTTTATTTGGGGTTTTTTCAGTGACCACCGGCCAGCACCAGAGGACCACCGTCTACAACCCGCCACTGAATTTCGGGCACCATAACAGGAAGAATAGGTAAGGTTTATAGCTTTTTATTTTAGTTTTGTCTTTGATTAGCTGATGTTTTTATGTATTTAGAATCTTTGATTATGTAATTGTTGATGATGACCGGTTATTTTGGATGTATAAAATATATAAAATGTAAGATTGTGTTAGTTGTTTAGGTTTACTAGTTTGAGTACATATAAGATGAAGTGGAAAAGTGCTTAATTGATTAGTGTTTAAAGTGTTTCTATTTAATTTCATGATAAGTGCTTAGTGATTAATTGATAAAGTGTTAAATTGATTAAGTGCTTAATTGATAAGTTCTTAACGTGTTTCTATTTTCATGATAAGTACTTAATTTATTTTGTAAGTGAATGCTTAATGAATAGTTGTTATTGGTTTGTATTGTAAAATGCTTAATAGGTAAGTGTTTAATATGTTTTTATTTTCACGATAATATGGTTTGCAAGTGCTTAATATTTTTAATGACTTAATTGTAATCATTATGAATTTAGCTTAATTAGGTAATATGATTAATTAAAGTACAATGTTGTAATTGAAACAAAACAAAAGTAAATTGTTACAATAGAAAAAAATAAATATATATATTTAAAGTACAATGCTATAATAGGAAAATACAAAAATAATATAAATATAAAAAAGAAATGAAAATAGAATACTTTATCAAACTAACTAATAAAAGCATGTTGCAATTAAATAGCCTAACTACAAAGGTTATTAATTGAAACATACTTTTATTAGTTTGCTTATTAAATCATTCTATTTTCACTTATTTTTCATATTTATAATAGAAAAAAACAAAAAAGTATTTAAAATACAATGTTATTATGTATAATCTAATAAAAATACATTGCTATTAAAGAAACCTAACTGCAAAGGTATGACTATAATTAACAAAAAGATGAAATTAATAAGAAATTAAAATTAAACAGTAAATTATTTAAACCATAATATTATGTATTATAATAGTAAAAGTACGATGCTATAACAGAAAATAAACAAAAGTTTGATGCTTTAATTAACAGTACGAAAAGACGTTGAATCATTGATTTTAAGTTTAAGTCTCTTATGTATAATCATCAAGAGCCTAGAAATATCCGCCCAAAAATTGATTTAGAGATTAATTTTGGGATGCCCCCATTTATGGATTGTTTTTTGACTGTTTTACCTCATTTAGGATGTGAATGTGTATTGCATGATTGTTTGTTTAAGAAAAAGTTGGTTGTCATTTTTTCTTTGTTGCTTAGGTATAGATTTATTTATATACTTGGGAGCTAAGGGTAAATGTTACCGAATTTTTCTCAAACAAATAATCAAGTAATATACATTCACATATGAGAAAAGGTATTCAAAAACAAGGTTTAGAAGCCTACCCTTGCAAATACTCTCTCAATTCCATCCAACTTTTACTTCTCAAGTACATATTTCTTTATATACTTGTGAATACTCTATCCATTCCATCTGACTTTTACTTCTTGCAGGGTAAACTTTAAACTCTAACTTATGTTTTATAGCCCAAATATAATCCAACTTTCAATAACTATGTATATAATGTAATTTTTAATAATGAAACAGTAATGATGATCGATAAGAGTTGGATTAGAGAGAAGAACCGAATGTCTTCAAATTTTTTGGAAGGTATTAATAACTTTATGAAGATTTTTGAGAAACATGTCCACTGTGAAGGCAAAGTGGGTTGTATGTGAAAAAAGTGTGTGAATATGTATCAACTGTTGTTACATATGGTTTATGCCCATATACATGATTGTGGGTTTTTAGAATCGTATACTATGTGGGATCATCACGGTGAGAAAACAAGTTGCTTTAGATTTAGGCTACAATTCGACTCCAAGTATAAAAACTCGAGTAACTAATGAGATGTTTTATGTAGTTAATGATGTTATGGCATAACAAAATACAAATACATAAAATATAGATGAGGAGGAACGAGGTGTAGATCCGGAATTTGATGTTTTTTTTAGGATCTCAATACCGAGTTATACCCTGATTTTAGTGACATGTCTTCCCTAAACATTATGGAAAAGTTGTTGCATATTAAAATGATCAATAGATGGACAGTGTAACGCCTACTCATTTGGGACATACATTTAAGATATAGTAAATAATCTTAGCTAAAGATGTTTTATTTGTTTTGTAATACTGTTGAGAACCATGGAATTGCTCTATCCTAATAATGGGGGTGCAATTATGTATTCATATTCCAAATACAAGACTGAGGAATGTTAAAAAATAATTATTAAATTCGACTATTGTATTTGAAACACTAGAATTTAATTACTTGTATTGTTTGTTATCATAGGTTTACACCATGAAAAAAGAAAGAGTATAAATATTACATATCAATTTCTCAAGGTAAATGGAGTATCTAAGTCATAATTTCTTACAAAAGGTAAGATACAAAAGATCAGAGATACGATCTTCTCGTTGGATGTTCTTCATCAAATCTATGGATGTCTATTCCATGGCTTGTTTTAGCATTTTACTATATATTTTTGTTTGCTAGTAAGATGTAGTATTTTGTTAGTTTGTATGTTTATGTGTATATGAATGCATCAAATTATATAAGTTTATGATAGACTGAGGATAAGCTATTTGTCTTATATCAAGAGATATAGGATATTCTTGATTTTATAACAAGTAATAGTTCAATGTTTTTTTTTTCAATTCCAATGATAAGTTGGAGTAAAGAATGTATTCATGCTTATCACTAGAAATGAGTTTTTGTAGGCGTATATGCATTTTTATCTTAATCCTAAAAGTTTGAACATGGTTTGAAAGATTTCAAGTATGTGGAAATTAAATTGATGTTATCTTAATCCTAAAAAGTTTGAACATGGTTTGAAATCTTAGAAGACACTTCCTAAACATATATAACATGTTTATTTCATTTCTTTTGTTACAACTTACACTTTCTATCCTTCTTATAAAAGTACAATGTTGTACTACGAGAAATTGAAAGTTTTTTTTATTGAAAGAGTACGAGAAATTGAAAGTTGGATGCTATAATAAGCAAATTAATAGAAGTATATTGCTATTTCTTTCATTTAACCTTATTTAAAATATACTGACACTAGAATGCAACAAAGGCTTGAGAGTATAGTAAGGAAAATATGGAGTGATTGTTGGCTTTGTTGCTCAAATAAAGCAGTGCCATCAGAGGAGAAAAAGTCGCTTAACTGAACTTGAATATACTGGAGTGGGGGCGGGGTGTTCTATGTTCCAAATGCACATAGGATACATCATACAAAATTAATGATCCAACTAAAGTAACTCACACATGTATGTATGACACAAGTACGCATGTTAGAGAAGTATCTATGTTACATGGGCATAGGACTTTGTGACTTTAAATCATATAAAGATGTTCCAACCAATGTAGCAATTATGTACGTATGAAACAAATATGTATGTTACACTAGTATGTATATTTTGCAAGTACATCAAATGCTTGATATGTATGTATGTACGTATAACACAAATATATATGTTATACAAGTATGCCACACATGTATGTTTAATACAAGTATGCACAACATATGTACATATTTAAAACAAGTGTGCCATGCTACACGTTAATTATAACAATCCATACATCAATTTTCCTAACAATAAGTTTGTACTTGGTTAGTTGGTTATTGTGTCAACACATAGCAAGGTGCCTACAGTACAAGTTCATTGTTAAAATCCGTTCTCATCAACAAATTAAGATGCTTTAGTCTTAATAATAACGAGGAATCTTTCAATGTTTTTTTGTTTTGTTTTTTTACAATTCCAGTGATAGGTTGGAATCAAGGTGTATTCATGTTTATCCTAGATGATTTTTTCTTTGCCGAACAAAAATTTAAGCCTTTAGAGAATTATTCTTGTCTGGTTCTCGATCAGGAATATATAGTAGACTTCTAAAATATCAAGTACCAAAGTTTGAAGAAAATCTAAAAATGTAAAAGCATTTGGTTTAAATATTTCAAAGCAAATGTGTGGAACGAAAGAAGCATTATGTGGTAATATGCCTTATAATGGGATCCCACATAGCCAGAAAGAAGAAATAGAGAGGGAGGGGTATCTGTATAAAATGAGAACTAGGCAATTGTAAAACTTACTTACCTGGATGGGGTCAATGGTTGGTCAAGATGGACCATGGCCTAGAGTAATGACTTCCATTGCACTTCGGATGGGTGCTAACTTAAGGTCGGCCCAAGTGGTCGAGCCTACATCATAATTTGTGCCAGTGGGGGCTTGCGTTCGCGCAGCCCCTCCCCAATTTATAAGTAAATTTTTTTTTCCAGAATTGATTTTATATTTTTCTGTCTCTATTTTTATTCTAATTCTCATAGTCCCCTTTGATAACTGATATTTTCTCATAATTGATATTTCTCATTAAACACAATATTGTTTAACAAGAGTTCATGAGACGAATACCCTACACTAGGCCTAAAAATATACAAAATACATACAAATACAAAGAATATTGTTTAACAAAAATCACAACTATATGTTAAAACTAAATCAAGGACAATTTACAACATTTTTTTATAAAAATACTACAATAAGAATTCCATATTGTGTTAATTAAATGTGATTTGCTCTTATCCTAATTCTACAACTACACAGGTTCAGATCTTCCACCCATTAATGGCTTCTTCCAAAAGAGTATCAACCATCGTTGGTGCGAGCTCCACCAATAAATTAAAATGAACCACACTTCATGTGTCACTAAATCATAGCCCGAATTGGAGCCTTCGATAAACTTCTAAACCCGTTTATGTAAATCTCATACATCTTTAATTTACTTTTCATCTCCATCACCTTGTTTTGAACCCACTGGATAAAAGTTGAGCATAAAGAAGTTCGTTCCAAGTGTCAGGGACTCCAGGTAGACACCAATGGCTACAATCTTGTGGAGCCTTTGATGGAGTACCTGGTTCCCTATATCTCGAAGGGTGACCATCTTTTCTCATTGTTGTTAGATACGTAATGTTTAAGAATTGGACTTTGTGTTCAGCAGTTTCCATCTCTTTGACTACATTTGAAATGATTTGATTGTTTAAATGTTCACTTTCTGGGTTCATGTAGTCTGTTTCTGGTGCTTTACTACGATCACAATGTCCACCAGTGTTCCATTCTCCATCCCTGCATTTATAACATATTAATTTGTTCTTTCTTATTTCACGTAAAACTATTAATCCAAAGGTTATAAATTCGAATGTTGGATGTAATTAGATAACCTGTAATGTACTGGTGAATAGCTTCGAAAGAAGATGTAGCTCCTATCGGAATCCTTGAAAGCCCATGACTTTAATGTTTGAAGAGACTTCGCAAATGCTTCCATCACGTCCATTGTCAAGTTCAGTGTCTTTTCTTCTTGGAAATACCACCCCCTAAACCAAAAACCATGATCAGATTGTTAAAAATGGCGTCTTTTTGGATTGAAACGATGGTTGAAGATGATTAGAAAGATGTTATTTGCTCACATTTTTAGGGTTTTGTCTTGGTTCCACCAGTGACCGGCGCTGAAGACAAGAATATCTGCTCCGGCCCATTTTGAAGAGAACCGGTGGAGCTTATCAACCCTAATGGCTCGCAGGATTTCTTCCGACGAATTTTCCGGTGGGTCATCGATGACTACCAGGAAAGGGACCCGGTAATACTCGATGGTTAAATTGTAGTCATGAAATCTGATTGAAAGGAAGCCTTTGTGTTTGGTTATGGGTTTTCCATGCTCTTCGTATATTGTGGAAAGGTTTGAGACTCCATGAGAAAGCATGCATAGTAGAGACTCCCATTGGTTTCTTCCGATGGAGTCTCCGGCGAAAACTATTCTTCCATTTCTGCTTCTTTCAAGAAAATCTCTCGCATCAAATCTGTTCCACAGGTATTACGATATTATCAATTCGTTTTTACAATATATTGGTAATGAATATTAAAACACATACTATTTACTTTTGGACATATATAGAATCCGAAGACACGACATACGATTGAATGCAATAAAATGATTCATTAATCATAAGATTCGATCAAAATCCAAGATTTCAAAAGGGAATAGTAAGTTTGTCGAGGGATTAGTCTTTTGCCATGGTTGGTCGATAGTTCACTGTTCAAGTCACTAGTCTACTGAAAAAGTTCTTCGTTTTGCGAGCGAAAATTCCCTTGAAAATTGTATTTGGTCGGCGAAAAATCTTATCCTAAGTAAGATCCACAGCAAGTATGCTTTTCTTTACCACATAGTTCCAAGAATATGAAAATAAATAACGAGAAAAGAACAAATGGATACAATTAAAATCATTAGGCTTCAGAGCTAGAGTAAAGGTTTCATATAAGTTTGTACAGTTTTGATTGAATCGAGATAATATATATGAATGGAAAAAAAAAACTATATTCATAACGTGCGATGTATGCATTTAGTTATGAGCATTAACTCTTCATCCATGGAAACTAACAATCGCTACCTCGAAATTCATATTTTATACCAAATAAAACTTTAAAACAATAAAAAAAGCCATGCATGCAGTTTAATATTGCTTAATCTACGAGTTGAAAACTCTAAACAACACCCATACCTGGGTAGATCGCACCCATGCGGTTGCCATCGCCAATTGACATACCCAACATCCCGGCGGCCATTGCGCTGGCACCGGAATCCCGGATCAAGAAAAGGACAATCTTCGTTGTACTTTTGGTTAGGGTAAGTTTCATCCCAAACCCATTTCCCAAACGAATAATCGCAGGTATGTGTGGATCCTGGGATTTGGGTATCGGGTAGGGTTTTGGAGAAGCTAAAAGGAAGAAGAAGATGAGGGTAGAAAGGGGTTAGGAGGTTGCAGAAAAAAACGGAGGTTATGATAAGAGAGATGAAGAGAATGAGTGCATAGGCCACGTCTTTTTTAGTGGGAAAGGGTAGAACGAAAAAATGGGGTAGCTTTTGGAATTGAGTTTCCTGACGAAGATCCATTAGAAGAGGAGGATTGGTTGAATGAGGGAAATATTAGGTTTTCTTTTTGTTAATTTTAAAGGGCTATTAATCGAAAGGGGGAGAGAGACATAGAGATTTGAGTAATGATGTTAGTTTTGCATTTATTGGAGATAATTTGCATCTAGGCCCTTTTATATTCTTACGTATTAAAATGATGCCTAAAACTTGTAAAAAGTTCATGAGTTAGAGTGGTAACGAACAATGAGTTATGAATTTGATTGATTAATACCTTGTGGTTAATGATACTTACCGATAGAACCTTATGTCATATCTAATTGTTCTTATGGATTTTATCTTTCCAAGTCTTTTTGTCGCAACAAATAGAACAATTCGTAGCCCCCGTTGGGATCATCTATTCGCTAGAAAAAAGAAAAAGAAAGAAAAGGAGGCAGTTCCTATGGGGGAGTTTGAATGACAAGAAAAAAATCAACTGGGTCGCATGGAGCAAAGTTACTACCCTAAAGAAATGGATGGGCTCGAAGTTGGTTCATTGAAAACTCTTAATACAGTCTTGGTAGTCAAATGGCGGTGACAGTTAAAGTCGGAGCCATCCTCACTTTGGAGTTGTGCCATTGTAGGTATACACAATCTCCAATCTAAGCTTGTTGACTGTTATTCCAATAGATTTCTTAGAGGTGTTTGGAACAACCTTACCAATGTTAAGAGTGACTTGCAAAAACTAGACATTCAAACAAGCATGATTATTAAGAGAGTGGTTAACTCAGGCTCTGAAACTATGTTTTGACATGATACTTGGGTAGGCTCGTCACCCCTAACATCACCCTATCCCAACCTGTATGCAGCTGAAATGGAGAAAAAATTTAAGGTGACAGACATAATAAGAATTTCTGGTTTCACTTGGGTCAAGGCATTTTGAGCAGACCTTGCTCAATGTTGACTTGGGTTATCGCATTGCAGTTATCAGACTGTTTCAACCCAACTTGGAGAGGGATTCTTGGCGGTATGATTAGGTTCCAAATGGGTGATACAAGGTATATGCGTTAAGACATTTAATTAACAATTCTACTCTTTCTCCCCCCTAAAACTCGCAAAGTTTCGTCTAGTTGAAAGAAGTGCCAGAAAAGTAGTGTGTTTTGTTGGAGAGCTAAAATGGGCCGAATACCTTCTGCCATGGCACTGAGGAATAGGGGCGTCAATTTTGGATCCACCCTATGTTCGTTCTATGGGATTTTTGACGAATGTGTTGATCATATCCTTATATAGGATGTACTTTTGAAAAAACTACGTTTGAATGGATTATCAGATGTGGCATCCAGTCCCCACACCCGTATGCACAAGCACCATGTCTTGAGACGGTCTTCTAGAAAACCGCTAGACGTCGCTTTGGCTTTAGCTCTTTTCCCAATGATATTCTTCCAACCTAAAAGGCCATCACTAAATTCGGTTAGGGTTCACCCCTAAGTTCATGTTTCTACCCTTAACCCCCTCCACGCATGTCCCCATTTTTAATTAATTTATAATGAATTAATTCACTCGCATGGGTCATACAAACACCTCACCATTCAACATTATGTAATCATGCTTGTTCTTTATTCATTAGTTCAAGACACATAACACCACAAATCATAATAAAATCATGTAAATAAAACACACCTTTTAAAATCACATTCAATGCTAGCATGCGTTCCCTAATTCCAAGATAAACATGTTATTTCAGAATCATAGCAAGTATAGACTTCACACTTTAATCATCAAATACAATTCTCACCACTAGCATGGACCTAGCCACTCATTTCATGCAAATTCATCATATCATGGTGTCTAGCATATAAATTCACCTAGTCACTTTGCTGACAGAGAAACAATAACATCTTACAAACCTATACTTCACATATAATCAGAACATAACATCACATACAAGTCTCCATATTTGTACTAGACAACCATAAGAAAGACTCACCTCTAATCCGAATGAAATTAACTAGGAAAAAAGGAAATTAACCTTTAACAAACATCAAACACCCTACAACAGATTATAGCAACACAATTAAGAAACGACACCAAAACAACAAAAATGATTACTCTGGTCATCAGGCGTGTCGCGTCAACGTAGGGCCAGGGCACGCCACGCTCACGGTAAAAACAAGATGCGAGAAATGTGACTTCTAGCATTCCCGATCAATTTCTAACTCACTTTGGGGTTTTTTCAACCATTAGAAACATACCTAGGATGTCTAGATCGATCTAGGGCTTTGTGGTAATCGTTTGGATGCTAAAACATCCCAAAACACTTCTTTGAGTGCAAGAACAAGACCATCACCACTACCAACCGATTTGGAACAAAAATATGTGTAAATATAAGTAGAGATGAGTCATAATAACTATGGAAATAAGGTAGATTTAATAGAGAATGAAGAAGGGAAGAAGACACGATCTCTATAAGAAGATTCTTTACTTGAAAGCACAAAAAACACACACCACCACCTTCTTGTATCTTTACCACAACTTCAAAGATGGAAAACACACTAAGGAACTCTCTTAAAGTGAGTTGGAAGTTGAAAATAGGGTTTGCTTTTCAGATTTAAGGGCTAGGTTAGTTTAAATACATGATAGATTTCATTCGAGGTCCCTAAAGTTTGAGAAAATGAACCATGATCCCTATGTGTCACACCCCCGGCCGGTGGCTGAAACGCCGAGTTGTGCGACGTTAGAATGTTAGATATCAGGGAAAAGACATACATGGAGTAATACGCTGATATATTAAACAATGTTGCTATTTATTCATTAAATAAAATATGTTACAAAGTTGTTCGAGGTATAGATAGGTTACAAAAGCAAAGTACAAAAGTAAAGCACATAAACTTCGAGCTGCATCACTTGTGTTACTTCCTTCTTCAACTGGGTTCATTATCCAGAGCATACATGTGGTTTTTGAAAGGTCAATATAATATTGGTGAGTCCACACATTTTATTGTTATAAAACATGGTGTGGTTATTTTAGTTATCTCGTTTATCCTAAACTCACTTGCTTGAGTTTGTGTGTACTATCACTACTTTCTTAGGTTATATCCTAACTTCTAACGGTCATAACTTCCGCGCCCCAAATCTACTTTCGACATTCTTTATATGCCCGAAAAGGTAATGAAAGGCCCTACAACCCCATCAAGTATCCTTCGACTCTAAACCTTCCGAACCAGAATCCTTAATTCAATAAAAAGCCCAGAGAATCACTTTTACCATTATACCTGTGGGCTCTAGAACACAAACTGAGAGCTTGGCTCGCACAACCTATATAATCCACTCCCAAATGGGCCTAGAACTCAAAACCTTTGAAGTACAGGGTCCTAACTTGATCCATTAATGTCCATAATTCTCGAAACTGGAAGCTTCTCGAAACCGGATGTTACAACTGCTTTCAGAACTCGATATGGTCATTATGAGTTCTTAGTCTTGCCTTTTCGGGCTGACTAATGCCCCATCTGTTTTTATGTATCTTATGAATAGAGTATGCAAACCCTACTTGGATAAATTCATGATAGTTTTCATTGACGATATTCTGATCTACTCACGAACCAAGGAAGAGCATGAGCAACATCTTTAAATGATCCTAAAGCTTTTAAGGAAAGAAAAGTTGTAAGGAAAATTCTCTAAGTGCAAATTTTGGATAAGAGAAGTACACTTTCTAGGACACATGGTAAGCAGTAAGGGTATTCATGTTGACCCATCAAAGATCGAAGCAATGAAGAGTTTGAAAGCACCCAAGACACCCACCGAAGATCGTCAATTTTTAGGACTAGCTGGCTATTATCGTAGATTTATAGAAAATTTCTCCCATATAGCCAAACCCCTCACAAAATTGACCCATAAAGAAATAAATTTTGTTTGGGGAGACAACAAGAAGCAGCTTCCCAAAAGCTAAAGGAAATGCTGTGCAGTGCACCGATACTATCCCTCCCAGAAGGCACTGATGATTTCATCATATATTGTGTTGATTTGCATCAGGGTGTGGGGTGCGTATTGATGCAAATGGGGAAAGTCATAGCCTACGTTGTTGGATAAGGTGTCTAAGTCCATAAATATATTTGGTATGTACTTGACCCGATCCGACATGGTCCATTTGGGTTGCACTTCACCGGAACAATTTGTATGGATAGAATTTTGAGTTGAGTATATATTCATGATTTATTAATATATTATAAGTTATAATATATTAATATGAAATCACATTATTTAATTAGTATTGATCAAGAATTAATTTGGTGATCAAAAGAGACTAGTTAAATATGGATTCTAATTTTATGGGCCAATGGATTATTTAGGATGGGCTAAGCTTGCATGGAAGTCCATGGAGTTTTTAACCCATGGATCTTAAGTAAATTAAAGGTCATGGGTATTAGGGTTTACATGGATGTAACCCTAATCCTCCATACTATATAAAGGTGTCACTAGCTCTAGAATTCGGCACTAGTGTGTGAGACTTGAAGCATAGCCGATTTTGTGAGCTTAGTATACTCTCTCAAGAACTTCCAAGTTGTTGTGGTGATTTGTGATTCCACTTGAGGCATTCACATTATTGGTGCTAGGCTCTTAAAGCTCCAAGCAATCAAATACAAGAAAAGGTATGTATTTCTATCTAGATTTTTGTTGTATAAGAACCTATAATTACATGCTAGATAGGAAAATGCTTTGGAAATCAATTTTGCATGTCTAATAGAGAAAACATACTTCCAAAGCATTTAAGGTTGTATGTGCACTTTAAGGTTGTTAGGATGCTCCAAACCCATCAGTGGTATCAAAGCCTAGGCTTGTTTTCTATTATATTGTTGTTTTTTTGTGATTTTGCAAAGCTGTTTTTTCTGTCTGACTGCTCAAGTCGGCGAGTCTATGAACAGACTCGACAAGTTGATGCTTTTAGGCATGGACTCGACGAGTCTGATGATCAGACAACATGCTGTTCGAGTTTTTTTTGGCTATAATTGGGTTAGGATCATTACCTATAACTGTTTTGAATCATTTAAAATGTTTTTATGATATGGTAATGATTATCCTAATCTAATTACAAGGTGATTGTCATAATTTCAAGAATTGTATTAATATGTTTATGTTAATGTCTTGAATATTGATGATA